AACAAGTCTATAAATAGCCAGCCTTTCTACCAGAAAATTTACACCATTTTCATTGCAAACTTTCTGTGCTTTGAATCTCATTTCCCTCTCTCTCTCGTTCTGATATTGTCTCGAAGTAAAAAACACTTCGTTGAGTTCGTTGGAACTCCTACAGACTGCAGTGCTGCTTCCGTAGGAGACGAAAAATTCGTTCTATCCTGGGAAATGATTGTTGGACGCCTTTAGCACCATTGAAGGCAGCAAATTCGTTTTAAGGACACATCGTGAAGTCGGTGGGCTCGAATTACAATTTTGGATCCTGTTGATCAATTCTTGCATTCAGGTAATTCTGTCAGATTGCTGTAGAAGGAGTTAATTCAAATTCTAGAAACAACAAGTTTCAAATCTTAGAAGAGTCCTACAAAGCAAAAAAATATATTACAGTTAGGAGAACCAATTTTAACGGGATTTTGTTTCCTTTTTGTTAAATGCAGTTAAACTCCTTTCCAACACAACAACACGCGATTCAAGACTCATATTTAAGTCAGGACTCTAATAATCTCCACCTTGACTCGAATTCTGGTGCAACAAACGGAGCTCCACAAAATTTCTTCACCTGAAAAATAAACCCATTTTCATCGAAATGAAATGACAAATCTCCTCAACACAATAACCAAAACTCTCCACATAAACTATCGTCCTCTGCACGACATCCACAAGCGACACCTGAACCCTACTCTTGGGTTTCCAAAATTTCACCGAGGAATTAATGTTGACCAAAAGGGTCGAAACACACCTTGTAGCAAAAACCATACAAAATGCCTGAACATAGAGCAACCACTGAAATTGGTGGCAAAGCGGAATCACCAACGCTCCCTCGAACAATGTTTAGAACCGACCCAGAGCCCATTACAAGAGGTACTGTACCAAATTGAATATTTACCATGGTATTGAACTTGTCCATATGTCTATTAACTGGTTTTGCGCTCTCTTGCAAGATGTACAACTAAGACATTCTTCATCTCTCTAGTACAACCCGGACACTCTTTCGGACTTTCAAGACTCCACTTCCATAAGAGAATTTATACTCTTTTGCATCCAAAGTACTAACCGAGATGAGATTCCTTTTCAGGTCTGAAACATGTCGAACCTGATCAATTGTTATGACTGTCCCATCCCGCAACCTAAATCTAACTTGACCGATCCCAGCAATACGACAAAACTGGTTGTTTCCCATTACAACTCCACCTTGCCAAATAACCTCATATGTATAAAAGAAATTCCGATTAGAACACATGATATGAAATGCCGAATCAAAAATCCACTCCTCGTTAGGCCTAGATTCCACGTCAGATACCACGGTCAACATCACATCTCTGCCGTCTGAAAAATCCTCAACTATATTTATTTCGTCTGAAGTCAAATGTTGCGCTTCACGATTTGCAACTAAATCATCTTTAGCCTGCAACTTATCGCAATCTTTCCGAATATGTCTCTTACGTCTACAATAGAAGCAAAACAAATTGTTGTTATTCTTCGATATGCCCGTCGACCACCATGAGATATAAGAGCTTCCTCATCCCTCGATGTAGCTCCAATCAAATGCTTCAACTTCTCCTTTGAATGCAAAACAACATAGACGTCCTCTATAGTCAAAGTATCCCGACTATATAAAATGGTGTACCGAAACGAAGCATAAGAGCTAGACAGTGAACACAGCAGGATCAAGACTAGATCCTCTTCATCGTACTTAACCTCCAACGTCTCCAGATCTGCAACTATTTTCCTAAACACGGTAATATGGTCCTCCAGTGACCCTCCTTCTGTCATACGATAAGAATATAGTTTCTACTTTAGAGCCAGTTTGCTCATGAGACTTTTAGTCATGCATAACTGCTCTAATTTCAATCACAAGGTAACCACTGTTTTCTCCTTCAAGACATCCTGCAGAATATTATTGGATAAATGAAGATGGATTTGCGAGAAAGCCTTCCGATCCCTCCGTTGTTTTTCTTTCGTTGTCCAATTAGCTGGCATCTTCTCAAAACCTAGTAGCGCATCATCCAAATACAACTGCGCCAGAATATCCCTCATCTTTACGTGCCAAAAAGAAAATATTGTATTGCAATCCAGCAGTGAAATGTCATACATCATTGTAGTCATTTCCAAAAAAATCAACCAATCCATAGAAAAAGAGTCAGGCTCTGATACTACTTGTTGGGCGAGGAAGTTCTAATACCACTTGTTGATCCCAAAGGGTTGTAAAGAAAGAGATTCAATGACGATATGAAGTAATAAAGATCACAACGAGAAACAGATTAAAAGTAAAGAAATAAACAAAAAAAATTTATTGCAGAGGAACGATGTATTATAAACTAACAATATGGAGATAAATTGCAGACCTAGCAATAATGTTTAAACAAACCTGACAGATGAGCCTTATATTTATAGGTCATGTTTCAAACTCTAGAAGAGTCCTAAAAGATAAGAAAATATATTACAATTAGAAGACTCAGTTTCAATGAAATTTTGTTTCCTTGTTGATAAATGCAGTTAGGCTCATTTACAACACTAACAACACGCGATTCAAAACTTCTTTTTGAGTCACAACTCTAACAGGCCCCAGCCCCGGTGTTATCTCAGTCTACCACCTGACTCTTCAAAGTAATCTTAGAAACCTTGCAATTATCTCAATTTACCAGTCGACTCCTCAATGTTATCTCGGAAACCTTGCAAGAGCCCCCAGTGTGTCTAGTCCAACGAAAACGCTCTATGACTAAACTAAGAATATCAATATTACATTGAAATCTTCCAATGGAAAAAGAATATCAATATTTCAGATTATTCATTTTTTGTTACTTATTTTGTTAGTTGAGTATTTATAATGCAAATTTCTACCAACTTATGAAATGTGCAGTACAGCTCATTTTTCTCTACTCTTTGAAATTCAAACTCTTCCATTTATTTGTAATTTCTCAAGTCAACAAAGTACAAAATTCAAAATAAGGAAATTGCTCATTCACCAACCATAGAGCTGTCCCATTCTAGACCGGGCAGTCCCTACTATTTACGTGATACATGACTTCGTCAATATCATTAACTTTCACGTGGAATTAGAAAACGTAGATACTCGTGAGGGAGGAGCATGATATACTTCAAGACAGAATCAAACGTAAACAATTATTTACTCTGATTTTTGGTAAACGTGTGATCAGTTAATCTGATTTTTTCAATTGAATTAAATAGAGTGATTTCGTC